ATTTCATAAGTCACATATGTCAGAAGAAGCTAAAATCAAAAATCTTATACATTTTTAAAAGTTACTAAATTGGCCTGTTGGAGCAGCTGAACAAGTTAGGCTAACTGTTTTAAAAATATCTTTATGATTCAGTGTTATACAATAAAAAATAAAAAAAATGTCCTTAGTAAAGTGTCCTAAATCTGTACCCAAAAGTGAGTAAAACCTGCGAAAATCTCCAAAAACCTCCCTTGTTTGTAAAACTGGTATGAAAAATAAAGTAAACAAAGTTTTTTTTATTTTTTTTTTTTATTGTAAAAATGTAAAAAGTTTTCTGTTAAGGGTAGGGTTATCAAATGTACATAAAACTATCTGTACATAAAAACAATAGAAGTCCATGTAATGACCCCATTTAGATAAGTACACTGTAACTGATTTTTGTAATTTGAACAGTATTATACTGTAATATGTACAGTAAGATACTGTAAAATGTGTATACAGTATTTTACTGTAAACCGCAAAGGATTATGGGAAAATATACGGTCACTACTGTATTTCCTCACTACTGTAAATCAATTTACAGTAGTGAGCTTGCCCGCGAAAAACTGACCAATGGTAAGGGAGTTCTTTTTTTGACTGGTGGAAGTGGCTGTTAAAGGACAAAAGAGAAATGCACCGTTAACTCGACGAAAGGTTAGTATATTATTTCTGTTTTATGCGAAACTGCGATATTTTAAGATGTTTTCACTTGTTAACAGCAAACTAACATTATTCATCGTGTCATTTTTCATGTCAGAGTTGGAGCCTTTTTTTCTGACAGACTGCCGGAATGCCGCCAAAAGGCTGATAACATCGACTGGTGAGTAAGTTAAGGTCACCTATATTGCTCGAAATAAACATTAGTTAAACCGAGAAACACGTTTGTACGTTCTGTTGCCCTTTAATGCAAGTTAGCTCGTCTGGCAAGTCGTTATTTAACCTTAACAGCGAATTAACATGAAATACTGAGGTAAAGTGTGTTAGGCAAACCTACTGTTTCAGTGGAGATTTTAAACAGTATTTTCTAGTACTTCTTTTGTTTGTTATTTTCAGATTTCTAGTCTGGATGTAGTCTGCAACGTCGGAGGTGTATTTTGGATCCTCTTCTTGTGAATACCACAGATAGTATCGATGATAACATCAACTGGTAAGTTAATAATGTAATTTAGCCGAAGTTAACTAACTTAGTTGAACAAAGAGAAGCATAGTAAGTTATCTTCTCTACTCTGCCTCTTTATCGCAAGTAAGGTAATTCTCTTCATCTGTCACTTTATCGCAAGTAAGGTAATTCTCTTCAAATGCTATTTAAGTCAGAAAGTGTGTACCAATGTCGTGTGTAACTTTAGAGACGGTCCCTAAATTCAGTGACAGACGTAACGTTAACATAAAACAGCGAGCTAACAACCTACTGAGGAAAACTGAGTGAAGAAACACTACTGTTAAGAACATCTTTTGTATTTTATTTTAAAGTGTGTGGTCATGTTGTCTGCATCGGAGGTGTATTGGAGTCTTGTGATTTCCTCGTAGCGGTGCTAACAGCAGGTGATCTTCCATCAGCTTAACTAACTTTAATGTTACTAAATTAGCCTCTAGCTGCTGTTCTCCACTAACTCACAGAACTTTGAGACTGACTTTGAGAGGAACATGCTAGCACATGTTGAATAAACATGAG